ATGGTCAACCCAGAATGCAATGCGATGCAATGTCTATTTTTCGAGCTATTTTTGTTATTGACAAGGCAGAATTATAACATTAAAACCTAGATCAGAACCGTTACCATACTGTAGGTGTATACCTCGGTGTATACCTAATGATCGAAGAATTTATGCATGCATATATACCGTTCCGAGCTGCATAAATATAATCGGATACAGTGGCGTGTCATGAGTTTGTTGACATGGGAAAGCTGTGATTGAAAATAACAAATATACCTACCTAGTGCACCACAGGCTAATTCCTTTTATTTTTCAGAATCGCATCGAATATTGAAAGTCAAAAGTGAGAATTCAATTATATTTGTCTCTTGAGTAAATCTGGTGGAATAATTTTTTTCATGATTTCCAATAATAAAAATCAATAGATATTTATCATACAAGGGAAAAATTATTTTCCCGTGACAGAAAAAAAAATTATTACAAGTATAAGTGGTCGAGCGTAGAGCCATCTTACCTCTGCTCGACGTCTGCAATCTGCTCACATCAGCTTCCACCTTCGTTTGTAACTTGCAGTACTTGCACTAAACATAGTGAATTTTCCATACCTATATCAAGATGGGATAAATACTCTATTTACAGTTATTATCAATTGTGAATTTATATAAAAATACCGGTAACAGAGCTACCGAATTGACAAAACCAAAAATCCAGTTTCCAATCGGGATTCGCATAGGCGTCCCCTCTGGTGTCCTTTATCGTGAAATCCGAGTGAAATCATAGCGTAATGAAATCGAACTTCTAAATCGTTTTCGTTGTCGTTTTCGATGGAAGAAGCGGTTCAGATCAGTTTGTCCACTTCCTCAAAGAGGTTGAGGTTATGATTTACTTGATTTACTATTCATACATTACAATACTCTTCCGAGAACTTTTCATTCTGGAGTATGATGAAGACTATTAAGGAATAAGGAGTGTAAAAAATATCCCATGTTGTCAATCATATTATATTCAAACGAAAATGGAATAGCTGGTGTTGCCACATATACATCATGCATTAATCCATACTCGGTTACAGATTCTCAGTACAATTCAAATGATTGCGGGTTTCATAGTAATCCGAGTAGTATATATAGAGTGGTAACCCAAGTGGTAACATTAAGCGAATTCGAAGATATTGGAAAAGCTGGTAGGTATTCAGTTTGTTCGCTTTGGTTGGCTTAGGGGTAGATCCGGGTAAATCAGTGTATAATTATGTACGTACAATTTCAATAATTTGACATACGTTTGGACCTCGGTTTGGACACACGTAGAGGGTCTAGATGCAAGTCGAGATGCAAGTATAGCTCGGCGGGGAACGTTTACTTAGTTCCTAGTAGTAGTAGATTTATAATCTCTCATTTATTAGTTTCAGATTTTTTATCAAAACTAACTCTTTGGAGGTTCACTTCGAGATTTTCTTCCTTGCTTTTTTGACATTCGAAGAAAGGAGAAATGGATGGAAGTGATTGTGGCCATCCAACGTCGATAAAGTCATCGTCTTGTAACCGTCGATTTCTAGAAGTTGGCCTTGAGCATCAACGGTCGTAGTATACGACTGGTACCACGCTACCACGGCCGTTTGACTCTCGGTTTGACTTTTGATTCAATCGAGGATTCAACGGACCCTTTGGAATTTTTTATTAGATGCTGATGCTGTATCGCCTGTATCTCTCTTGATTCCCAGAGTTATTAACGTCCGAGTTAACGTCAATCCTGTTGATTTGCGATTTTGATACGTAGATACGAGCGTAGATATGTAGGAATGTACCTATAAATAGCTGAAGTTTGAGGAGCGCCAAATTTCTTTGCACATTTACCGACGATGAATGTTGAATTTTTCAACAAAATGTCGTTGGTACATAATTATATCAATTTATATGCGAGTAGACGCCCCAGCAAATGAAAATTCATCAGAATTCTTTTCCGTAAAGTTTACTTTGGAGTATGTCTCGGCCTCACCTATAAACATATAGAAACAAAAATATTTCATATTCGCATCAATTTACATTCTCATTTTCGCCTGATTTTCACCACGATTTTCGCCTCGATTCGCAACTATTTATATTGAAGAAATCATTTTTCTTTATTAGAATGTGTCCCGAAAATCCGAGCGAAAATCCCGAGGAAAATCATTTTGCTCCGATATTCTTGAAACTCGGTGGGTTCGTTTCGGTTTGTTTCGAGGTCTGTTTACTTTTTCGGTCCAGTAAACTGGGTCCAGTGATGAGTCGGGAAAATCAGTCAGTATTTTGTGTACAAGTAAAGCCTGTCATAGTTTTTTTCATAGTATGAAGGTTTGAATTCTTATCAAAATTCTCGTCAGAAACCGAGTCAGAAACGCACTATTTTATATGATAATTCTTTTTTATATATCGCTCTTGGTAAAAAAATATATGTACATTTTCTCGGATGCCATGATTAAAATTGAAAGTACTTTGAATTTTCCGAGCAAATTTCCTGGAAATTTTTTGAAAAAAACATACAGGAACTACAGATTTCAAGATTTCACGAGTTTTCATTAAATAATAATAGCAGTTTAGACTAGAGTTTAGAGGTTTGATCGAGGGTTTGATGTTTGATCCTCAGTATCCCGTTCGGTATAGTTACTGGTCGAGAATATATGTATCTCTACCTCAATTTCTTCCCGAGTTTCTTCCATTATGTACCAAGACTTTTACCTCTGCCATAGAATAATGACTCTCCCTCGGCTTATACCAGTTTTACCTAACTGAACGATAAATAAAATGAGCAACTTTGCAAAAGTCCTTGATTTTCCTGTGCCTCTGGCCCCGCCGAAAGCCATTGTTCAGGTTCGGCTGTTAACAGCTTAACAGCTAACCGCAACTATGAAAATTCTAGGAAAACTTTGAAATTTGATTAATTCCAAAACATTCTTCCATAAAAATGTCAATATTTTAGCCAGGAGCTCGGCCAGGAGATAGTAGGAGGTGTGGCCTCTTCTCTTCCTGTATTGGCGACGTCCGAGGCGATTCCGATATTACGAATGTCCCATCGCTGCACAGAATGCGGTGTACAGAAGCAAACACATCTGCGACATGACATCTCTGAGATGTCGCGATGAGGCGACACTGCGATATCACGAATGTTCCATCGTGGCGATGTACAGAAGTAAACACATCTGCTACATGACATCTCTAAGATGCATTATCACGAATGTGGCATTGCTGCGATGTACTCATATGGACTTCCTAGTTCAGAGAATTCGTGAATAAATTCATATTCAGATTCTTGTTGGGTCAAAGAGAATATATTAATATAGGTAGGTACGTGACTCAACAAATTGAATGAGCTATAAATTCGCAAACACTCGTTACATCGCTATCAAAGTATTCTTGGTTTGCTTACATCTCGCCGACACACACTATACATAATTTTTTATACGAATACAAATAGCGCTGCTGAAAAGACGATTGAAAGAATGGACTGGAGACCCGAGAGACCACCAATCAGTCACAACAATGCATAATCCTCGGCATAATCAATATAAGTAGATGCCGAGGTAGATGCCATCAGAGGTCAGTGGTGTATTACCACACCATGTTTGAGGAAACTTGTTCACGTCAGCTCGCATCACATCGTATTTTTATCTCTCTTATATCGCAGAGAACCGAGCAGACAACTTATCGCAGCGATGTCGTATGAATGAAACAAGAGTGAGACAAAATAACATCCCTCTAACATTGCAGCGACGTCTATGAGACATAGACTGCCGAGTAGAATGCGATATCGCAGGTCATAATTGTTACATCGCTGCGATATAACTGTATGGGTAGGTATAGGTAATCGGTATAGTGTGTAACTTTCGATGGTGTGGTACAAAAACGAGCTCAAAGGTTCTCAAAGGCAGCTCACAGGTAAATAAACTTATACTTGGGCCACCCTGTATATAATCAAACACATGCAGGGTTATCCAAATTACCTTCAACCGAAACTATACAGGCAGATTGTTTGAATTAGCAAACTGGCAATAAGATTTTGAATGATGCTTTTCGAAGTGAGAGAATGAAAAAAATCTCTAAAAAAATCCCCTCGGAATCCCCCGTTTATTGCCTATACAGGGTGTATCAAGATAGCACCGAAAAAATTTGAGACGTGATTCTGTGATGAAAATGAAGGACGGTATTTGGTATGATTTTTTTATACCTCTCCCTGGAAAAGTTACACCATCCGTAGAAAAACAAAAAAAAAAGTTTTATTTATTTTTCCTGTGAATATTATTTGTCAATAAAACTACACATTTTGAAATTTTCTCAACCCTGAAATATTCAACCCGTATAAGATATTTTTTCTTACAACTTTATTTTTTTAATGAGAATTGAGAATTCGAAAATGGGTGTCTGAAAAGCCCAATTTATTTACTAACTTTTATATCTCTAAAAGTTAGTTCGGAAACTTAAGCTTTTGCCATGTTTTTTTAAAGGAAACTTTTTTGTCGGATCAAAGGAAGAAAAAATCGCTCGAGCAAGCACTCGCGATTTTTTCACTACCTTGATTCTCGCTCGATTGTTTGCCATGACAATAAAACCTCGAATAAAACTTTCATACAATCAAGTATTTTTATCGATAAAACAGAATCTCTTATGTATTTACTCCCGACAAATAATATTTATCAAGTTTCGTGTCTTTCGCTTATTAATATACAGGGGGAACTAAAAACACTCGAAAATGCACGAAAATACATTTTATTTTATTTCTAGAAGGGTGTAACATTTCCAGGAAGAGGTTTCTCTAACAAATTTATACCTAACACCTACCTTGATTTTCATCACCAAATCACCCCTTAATTTTTTTTATGTTATTCAGATACACCCAGATCTTCAAGTTTTAGACAGTTTTGTTGCTTCAATAATGAATATACCAATTGCTGCGGACTTTCGATTTGGATAACCTGTAATCTCTTTATATACAGGTGTACCTACCGTGTATATATAGCTACAGATGATTCTCATACTACTACATACCTCAGGTGCAGGTCAGGCCGTTCTGTAGAATTAATCCAAAAATCAACGAAAACAACTCAAAAACCACCACAAACACAAACAAAACCAAGTTAAACCAGAGATCAGTGAGTTCAAGCTGAAGAAATTCAACTGCAGCGTCTTTACCTCGAAAATAAAATCGAATTGCGATGCACTCTCGGTAAATAGTCATTCAAATTGAGCAGCCTATATGCTATGCTGTAGTCGGGATAGGATTAGTACGTATATGCACAGGGGGCACACAGATCGAAAGCAATCCGTTGTGAATGTATTGAAATTAGTTTCGAAAACCCAGCCAAAGCCTGCTCTGCGATGGATCTAATGCCGTACACCGGGTTCAATCTATACTACGGTCGGTTTAAATGTCCTCACGGTCTTGCGTACTACTGCAGCGAATGCGGCCCACAGACGATGGAACTTGGCGGATGGACAGGGGTGAAGAAACGAAGAATGAACACTGAAGCCTCCGAAGAGCCAGAGCTCACCTGAAGACCTGAACAGTTGGTACAAAGACCTTTTGAATGGCGATACAAATGATGCGAGGCGAAAAATTGTAGGTACCGACATTCGGGGCTAAATCTAACGATATTTTCAATCATATTATGTCTGTATTTCTATTGTTATACGGAATTAAAGCTAACATGCCATTCTATAGCAAAAGCAGCTAACCTACTGAACATTATTTACATTACATAAAAAATTTTGAAAGTTGGCACGATTTTTTTTAAACGTCGTCTGAGATAACATGGGACTTAGGGTATTATCAGACGTTTTGGATTTTCACGCTGGAAAATCACGTTTTTGAGCCTGGTATTTGATATAGCTAGGTTTGATCAAATCCCTTTATCGGACGATTTCATGTGTGAAAAAATACAGGGTACAGGGTAATGTAGAAAGAAAAATAAACTTGACATTTGATAAAAATAGAAAAAAAAAATCGGAAGTCGACTTGTATTTTATTATATCATATCCGATATCATCCCTGAAAAAAACATTTTGTGAGAATTTTTCAGGTGAAGGAAAGATGCATAATGAACTTTGATCTCAAGGAGGTGTTGATAAGGCAGAAAACAAATATTAATCCCATTGAAGTATACAGGGTAACTCACGGTCGATGGTAGAGTGGACGTTTATGGAGAATGCAACGTAGGATTGAAAATTTCGCATCTCACATTTTATCACCTGTTCTACCGATCCAAAATATTTTCGAAATTGCGTCGTGGCCGTTTCAATCAAAAAGTCCTAGCAACTTCATTTTTTACAATTGGAATACCCCGTATATTAATAAATTTTTAGAATTGCCTTCACATTACAATACTCTTCTGTTGATAAAACCCTATACCTAACCTCTATCGGTTTTCTATATAAAAAATAATTTGTGTTGAATATGATACAAAACATATCCCTAATTGAACTCAAGTAAATCAGGGCTCTCAATTCACTAAGAGTTGATATTTCAGTGGTGGTTTGGACAGGCTTGATGTATTCAATTTACACCGAGAAATCGCCTCCATATCATACAGGGCGTGCTGAAATTATTATTATATCCATTGTTCATACAAGTGGTCAAAAGTTCATTTTATCAAATGGAACCCACTGTTTTTTACTCAATAAATTGAAAGACGAAGAAAAATGCTACAAGATGACATTGCATGTCCCGAGGTATGTCCCTATATATACCTAAATCATCAAGTTTTCTTAATGAAGCCGCTTTTTGTGAAAAATATTGTCACGATATATTGATATAATAGATGATTAGTCCAAGTAGTACGAATAGGCACTAATAGTTTAGGGGTAACTGATACTACGAGACTATAATATTCAAACACAACAATTTGTATTATAACATGTAACATTGTGGGTAGCAATGACAAATATGAATAACCAACAATAAATATAAAGACATAATAACAACTTACATTATAACGACCATCACGACGAGCTCTTGTCAAGTCAAGAGTAGCCCCAGACCAGACTAACTTCGGAACCCTCATCACATCCAATATTTATATACATATCAATTTATTAGAGATTTACACGTTTCCCATGAGAGTTCCTTGGTCAGTTTTTATAATTCAATGTGAACGGATGATTTGATTAACTTTATGTTTATAAAACCCTCTACTCGTGACAATCTAATTTTATGAAGAAGTTGATTTTAGATAGCCATGGAAATATCAAACTCATGACAGTTCGGTAACATCAATGAGTAATTCAGTAATACGTATTGACTGTGTTTCGTAACATTTCCCAGAATGAACGCAAATATCGATTATTGAAACGAAGTTCTTATGAAGTTATTTATTAAACATGAACAATGTGATCAAATCATTGCCAGAACTTCCAGAAAATTCTACCAAATGTATCCTGAATTGACACCAATGAACGAGAGGAAGTTTTTAAGATTACAAAATGATTTTATCAACTATGGCAACAAAAGAGTATTGTAATGAAAAGGCATTCTGAAAATTCGTAAATATAAAAAATGTTGTTGCTAGGACTTCTTGATAGAAACGGCAACGTCGCAATTTCGAAAATATTTCAGATAGATAGAACAGGTGATAAAATGTAAGATGCGAAATTTTCAGAAAAATCCTGCGTTGCGTTCCCCATCATAAACGGCCAACCAACCATCGACCGTGAGTTACCCTGTATAGATATCATGCACAGGGTTCACAGACCAGAGGAGACTATTTTTGGCTTTCTCAATTTTAGCGCAAAATATGACTTAAATAATTATTTTTTTGTGAGCTTACCTTAAATTTCTTATCGAGCGCGACACGCTGTGTACGACTCGTGGTTTATCTGTAAGTCTAAGGATATTTTTGTTTAGTGAGTCCACTGTCACCCATCAGTTAAAGTGGGTGCAATTTGAAATATAAATATAAAAAATTCCGGATCACCCGGTATGTTCATCAAACAATAATGAGGAATGTTTGTTTAGTTCTCACCTCTACTAACCCCCAATATTTTTTTGCATTTTTTAGGAAATCCGGGCCTATATTTCTTCTTTCTACAATAAATTAATATCTTGGAAAGTATATTATTATTCTTCATCATGAGAGGCTGTCTAAAGTAGTCTAAACAAATGAATCAAGCTTTCAATGAAGCATGAACAGTTAGACGTTCGTTTCAAAAAGTGTTGATAATCAATTAAGTACAAATAATTATTCTCTTGCACATTCAGTGAGGTGAATAGCCTCTTTCTAATCGAATATCAGATATCTACCTATTTTCATTGTATATGGAAGGTGATTTTGTGATTAGTATACGTATTGAACAAATCAAAATTATACAATCTAATGAAAACATATCCCCAAGATGTAACTCTTTCAATTGACGAGAAATGTCATCTTGAAAGAGTTCATAATAACATTCATGGAAAATTATCCTCCGATTCGGATATCCTTCATGATTTTATTTATGAAACTTCGTTCGAAGTTAGTTTTGTAGACCTTAAATGATAACTACTATTCAGTGATAATATTTATCGAAAATAAGGATTTCCCGAGGGATTTTCATATGAAACGCGCTCCATATTTGTTTGAAACATATAATGAAAGAATGATCTGAGATATAGGAATTCGATATTTTTTATAAAAGTTGCAATATCTCGAAAACCATAAGGTTTTTACTGAGGCCAAGTTATTCTTTTCTGATAGGTTATGAACGGTATGATCCATGGTTCACCAACAACCTTTATATAGGGGTGAGTACTTCAATACCTACTAATTTCATGAGGTCCTATTATCTATAACTATCTATATAGTTCACAAATAGGCCTCGGACCGCAATGGAGGGTCTGCTTATTTACACCCACTCATACATTGAATCTGAATCTAAACCTCCGATATTCATCATAAATGTAGATGTAAAGACGTAGATATAAATGTAAAGGCGTTAAGGGAAGAAAGCATATAATGACAAAAACAAAATAGTGGCGAAAACCACCAAAATTTCAATGGATATACAGGGTGTGCCACGGTTGATATGGTACCTTAGACGTTTACGGAGACATACTCAGATAGCACAAGTACATCATGGATATTGTGGATGTCCATAAGATATCCGAAATAGGATGTGACAGTGTGACCTTTTTGGATGTCTTAAAGATATTCATTATGGATATCCATAAGATAACAGCTATGGATATGGATAAGAGAGAGTATACCCTATATATAGAAAAAAATCTCCAAAATTGGGAAGCACTTACGTCTCATACTGCGTTCGAATAATGTAGTTGTCAGTTCTTATTCATCATCAATTTTGGACGAATTCGTAGGAATCACTTCCAAATTCACTTCAAATTAATTAGATATGAGAACAGATTGACATTATTTGACTATTCCAAGCTTGGTAGAATCGATGATCTATAAATAATCATCAGTTCTACTAATCTTGGACTATGCAGATAGTACATCACAATGTGTGCTATCTTTTGGAAGACCCACGCACAAGTGTTACTCTTGTGAATCTCCTTTTATTTATTTATCATTTCATTCATTGTATATACTTGATTTGAAATTTCTAGGTATTGATCTTTTTTCTCTGTATCTCATGGATATCCTATGCACGTATTCAGAACGTTTGTTTTGGATATCTCAAGTACATCCACAATCATCTTATGGATATATACATTTTATGTCCACGGATATAGAACTTGAAATGGATATCCATAAGATATCCTGTGTTAACTGGGATAGGATCATTCTGAAAATTTGTTTACTCAAGTTGTTGCTCTTGGTCTATCGATCTAAAGTAATTTCCGCAATACAGCGTTGACGCTTATACCAGAAAGTAGTAGCAACTTTGATATTTCAAATAGAACACCCTGTATTTCATTGCATTTTTGATCTGATTAAAATCAATGTATCCCACTTGGGGTCTAGCGGAGAGTATTACAGAGATATGGGGTGTTCAAAATCGACATTTTTCAACTACAGGATTTTTTTGTGTCGAAACTATTCATTATCAGTCAAATAGGCTTCCATGTCCGTATCTCAACTTTTGATTCACCATTTACTGACATTCAATTTTTTTATGTCTTGGAACATCGCGCGTACAGGGTGATTCACCATAAATGCCCCCCCCCCCCCCCTCTAGCTCAGTTATTTTTGAACCGATTTCAAAATTTGACATATCATATCTTGAATGATTTTCGATAAAGTTTTTTTTCTGATACATCAGAAAATACAGAGTGCTCGGAACAAACGATCTACAGGGTACTATTTGATTTTTTTAAATGGAACACCCTTATTATTTTCATTGTATTTTCAGATTCTCCCTGAAGAGCTGAATTGATCAATGCATCACACTTGGGGTCTTTTTTCTGAAAAA